ATATTCATATCTTAAAACCACTTGCAGTTTTCAAAAAAAATGATGCTGCATTTGACAACAATGAAGATGTAACCAATCTTCCACCGCAAAAATACTGCCATAGTAAACTAAAGGTAAAGGCTTGCTGCAGGTGTGGGAAACCTCTGGCCCTCCAGATGTTGCTGAACTGCAACTCCCAACAGTCCCAGCAAGCATGGCCAATGACTGGGAAGGATGTAAAATGGCGTGCATCAACAACCAGAGAGCTAAAGTTTCCCCATACTTTGTTCACCATCAACATGCTCATCTGGGCTGCTTTGCTCCTCCGTGCCAATGTGTGGGAGAAACAAACCAAAATCCCTGGCTTGGCATTGTGCCCAAACCTGATAGCCAAGATTTGTTCTTGGCTTACTGACCATGGTTTGAGTGAAACAAACCACGGCCCCAGGTTCAGACATAGGATTGGCATATTGATGGTTTTAAGGTAAAGGTAAAAGGACCCCTGACCATTAGGTCCAGTCGTGGCCGACTCTGGGGTTGCGGCGCTCATCTTGCTTTATTGGCCGAGGGAGCTGGCATACAGCTTCCAGGTCATGTGGCCAGCATGACTAAGCCGCTTCTGGCGAACCAGAGCAGCGCACGGAAACGCCATTTACCTTCCCACCGGAGTGGTACCTTTTTATCTACTTGCACTTTGATGTTCATTCGAACTGCTAGGTTGGCAGGAGCAGGGACCAAGCAATGGGAGCTCACCCCGTCGCAGGCATTCGAACCGCCGACCTTCTGATTGGCAAGCCCTAGGTGCTGTGGTTTAACCCACAGTGCCACCCACGTCCCATTATTAATGGTTTTACTTTGTTTTAAATTGCAACTGCTTGTGGGTTTGTTTCGGAGGGTTGGGGGTTTTTTTGTTCTCTTTTTCACTATCTTGGCAGTGGAGAGATCACTGCAGTGTGGCAGAGGAGATAAGAACACAAGAAAAGCTTGCTGGATCAAGCCAATGGCCCATCTAGTCTAGCATCCTGTTCTCACAGTCACCAAACAGGTGAGGAAACCTGCAAGCAGGACCTGGGCACTTCCCACCATTTCCAGAAACTGATATTCGGAAGTGTTACCTCTTTCTCGCCATTTTTCTACACTAAAAAGTTCATTGAGAGCTGCAGTCCTAAAGATCTGGAGGCATCCAGGTTGGGGAAGACTGTTTTTCAAGCATACAACTACAAGTTCAATCCCTGACACCTCCAAATAGGACTCTTGTTAGAAACCCTGGAAAGTTGCTACCAGTCAGTGCAGAGAATCCAGAACTTGATGGGCCAGAACTTGATGGATCTGACTTGCTGTGTTCCTCAAACCCATTCCAAAGGCCTCTGTTACCTGTCAAGAGTTTGCTGGGCCAAATCATCTTTGACTCAGATCATAGCTTCTGGGAGAGGAAACAGCACAACCTCAAGCAAATGCTTCTAATCAATGATGATAAAACTTTATTCAATGAGGAGTAAGAATAGCTGCACATGACTCCACCTTATGCCCCCACCCTCTAAAATATACTGAGCCCTCAATTAGAGGTGTATGAAAACCTCCCATTCAAATGTTCTACTAGCCTATCATTTCCCAGACTGGATAAGGCAGGCATAGGCAAACTCGGCCCTCCAGATGTTTTGAGACTACAACTCCCATCATCCCTGACCACTGGTCCTGTTAGCTAGGGATGATGGGAGTTGTAGTCCCAAAACATCTAGAGGGCTGAGTTTGCCTATGCCTGGGATAAGGATAGAGAGTTATTGATCGAGCAAATGTTTCTAAGTGACCAAGATCTGTGCCATATGTTAACTCCCCCCCCCCCGCATGGAAAATACATGTGTGTAGGAACAAGCCACATGCGGCCTTCTGTAAAACCATCTTCCAGCTGTGCTTCTCATTCATGAAAATCTCCAAGTGTTCAAGCACCCAGCTGCTCAAGGAATATACCTTCAAAGGAATCTTGCTGAGACATTACACTTGCCTGTTATGACCTTGGCTATTTTCTTTCTTGACAGAGATAAAGATGAAATAGGTTCCTCTTCTAATGACAGTTTGTCCTGAGAAGTGTGATGAAAACTACACTATCTGTGCAGATTACTGACCAACCTGTCACCGTGGCTGGTACTATAATTCTTTGTACACACTCTCTAGCTTCCCCCTCTCTCAGATGAAAAATTCTCGTGAGTGCTTTCCTCCTCCTCTTCCTCCCACAGCAACAACAAGCAAAGAATTGCTAAATTAAAGATCTTGGTACGAAAACTAGGTTTGCAGTCCAAGTGGGATATGAACATAATAACATAAAAAGAGCTTGCTGGACCAGGTCAATGGCCCATCTAGTCCAGCATCCTGTTCTCACAGTGGCTGAACAGTTCCCTCTGGGAAACCAGGAAGCAGGATTCGAGCACAAGAGCACTTGCCCCTCCTGTGGTTTCCTGTGGATACAGGTCAACCAGCTGGAAAATCTACTTTGCTTTTCATGTATCACCTTCAGAGTTTAGATTTTATTTTATTTTTAATCACCCTGGCCCTTTTTGCAAAAGGCTGCAGATATCAGGACTATATCTTACAGTAAAGTGCCCCCAATGTCAAGAGTTGCCAGCAATCTCAAAATTAGGTCTAGGTAATTACAGTGCTTTGACAATGGACTGTTTCTTCAAAAATTCAATAAAAAAGTTACATATGAAAAAGGAAATTAGGTCTAGGTCAGAGTTGTGGTCCTTAAGCACTACCAATGGCTTTTTGGAAATGTTCCTTTAAGGTGCGGAATCTGATCTGGAATATAGCTCAGAGCCACACAAACACTCTGAAGAGACCAAGTTTGAAACAACAAACAACAGCCTTTTATGCAGTTTTTCAGGGTAGCTTAAATAATGTAATTTCCCCTTGTGTTTATTTTTGTTATTTAGTCGATTTATGACCCACCCTTCACTAGAAGGCCCCAGGGCAGGTGACAGCAATTTCAAAATACAGAATTAAATGCAGTTCAAAAGAAGTAACAGTCACAATAATAGGGTGAGCCCTAAAAGTATATAGCTCAAGGGACCTGAAGGAGTGTCTCCACCCCCATCATTCAGCCTGGACACTGAGGTCCACCTCTGAGGGACTATTCCCTCACTGCAAGAAGTGAAGTTCTGGGGAACCAGGCAGAAGGCCTTTTCAGTAGCAATGCCCACCCTGTGGAACGCCCTCCTATCAGATGTCAAGGAGACAAATAACTACACAACTTTTAGAAGACATCTGAAGGCAGCCCTGTATCAGGAAGTTTTTAATGTTTCGTGTTTTATTATGTTTTTATATGTGCTGTAAGCCGCCCAGAGTAGCTGGGGCAACCCAGCCAGATGCGTGGGGTATAAATAATAAACTGTTGTTGTTGTTGTTGTTGTAAAGAGGAGCATCTTCAGCACATGACAGAACTATATAATGAAGGTAGCAGATAGATGTCTGTGGGGAGGGAATTTCACACCGTTGGGGCTGCCACAGTGAATACACTTTCCAGGGCCATCACCACTCCAAAACTTCTGAGGGGGGTGGAACTGTCAAAAGGGCCCCCTCAACTGATCTTAACACTTGGGAGGATCTGTAGGGAAAGAAGTGCTCTCTCAGATATTTGGGGTCTAAATCATTTTAGGGCTTTAAGCATTAAGGTGAAGCAGAGCCGGTGTGGGTTGTAGACTAGCTAGGGAAAGTCTCAGAGGGCTTTATTTGGTGCCCAGGTCTGATGTCCCTCCCTCTGCTATAACATGTGGTTCATTTCAAATGTGACAGCACAGCTTTCCACATACCAAAGGCCACTCTTGTGTATGAAGGACATTTGCTGAAGAGTACTCTAATGCCATGCTTATGTACTTGTCGTACTGAAGACTGATCAATCTGGATGTCCGCCACTCATAACCACGAGAGCCTCTGCTTAAAGCCAGGTATATTCCCAACGGCTTTGCGCTGCTCCACAGGAAGCCCCAAACCAGCCTGCTGCTGCTGTTTGAAGTTAATTGCTTTGAAATCATCGAGCAGGTGAGCAGGAAAGGTTTGCACTGAGCATTTGCCACTTTTCTTCTGCATCTGAACAACCAAAGCTCAGGTTGAATGAATTAAAATGTCACCAGGGTGGAGGGGGGTGAGACTTAAAAGCCATTAAAAAAAAAAGAGAGAGGGAGGGAGGGCTGGAAACTTCTTACTGGCTAGATATGATTCCCCTTTAACATTATTAAGACCTTGGAAACAATTCATTTCAACAGTTGTCTTTGTTATATATAAAACAGATGAACCTCGCCACTTCTGTTTTTCATTGGTATGGTAATCAAGCCTCTATATATTACTGATTTCTGATATGAAATCAAAGCAAGGCCTGGAGGCAGAGGCAGCTGCCTGCCAGCCAGCTTACAGTGTACGCAAGACGCCATGCCGAGTCAAATATGGCACAGACTCCCTTTCCCTATTGATAAACTGTCTCTAAAAGTCACTTCAACCTTGACAAGCACCAAACTCTTTAATGAGATTTATGGTCCATCATAAGGGCTACAAGAGACCAGCAGTTTGGAGGACGGGATTGTGGATCGTCCATCTTCAACAAGTGGGCCATGCCCTGAGCATTGGTGGTATGAGGGCACCACCACCAGTTTATGAGGGATGGGCAATGTCCCAGTGGCTTGTATGCAGAAGCTGCCAGGTGCACTCCCCAATGGCATCCCCAGGTGGGGCTGGGAGATACCCCTGCCTGAAACCCTGGAGAGCTGCTGCCAGTCAGGGTAGACAATACTGAGCTCAATAGACCAATGGTCTGGTTCAGAACAAGGCAGCTTTCTATGTTGCCATGTTTAGAGGAGAAAGTCAGAAAGGAAAGGGCGGGCAGATAGAAACTCTGATGCAGATGGGGAAAGAGCTCAGAAGAGTGGCACAGAAACATAGGAAGCTGCCAAGAAGTATCAAAGCAGAACAGGCCACGGCTCTGACAGGCAGCAGCTCTTCAAGGGTTTCAGGCAGGAGGCATTCCCAGCCCTATCTGGAGATGCCAGGAATTGAACCCAAAACCTTCTGGATGCAAAGGAGATGCTCTACCACTGAGCTAACCCCATTCCTAGATTGTGGAAGCCAGAATCTGCAGTAGGCAGATGGTGCTGCGGGGGGTGGGGCTGGGGGAATGCCTGCTATCGTCCAAAACATCTGGTACCAGATTGGGGAGGAGGAAACTGTTCTAAGGCTCACAACCCAAGTTCTCCAGAATTCACCAGTGGGATATGAAGATATCCAAATCTCCAAGACTAACAAATGCAGTAATTATATTTAATGAAAAGAGTACACTGAGATATCAAGGCTAATCCCGGGGTAACGTTTGCAAAGGCTACCAGAGAATAGTTAATTTAGGAGTTGGCTAACATCCCTCTCCCTACAGCCTCCAAAAAAACCCTCTTGCAAATGAAATATGCTGGATCTTTGCCCAGTGAGCGGAAATAAAAGTTATGAATAATGCTTCCTTCTCCATCATTGTCAGTGCTTTAATATTCCTAATTATTTTTAAAAGCTGGAATATTTAATGTAAAGAGGGTTCCACTTTAAAGAGAGAAATCCCCTCCCCAAATTAGTGGCCTTTTGTGATTCACATAATGGTATTTGTCCAAAGCCCTGTACGGATAGTCAATGTGGACTGCATTTTTCAGTATGCAGATTATGCAAATGTGGACATACATCTTTGTGGGTTCGTGGAGGGCACAGGGACTGCTGCCACCATCACAATTCATCACCACCACCCTGAGCTCCTTCAAAGGGAAGGAGGGGTGGGATAGAGATTCAAGAAATGATAAAATAATAAACAACGTAAAGAGGAACAATGCAGAATGTCTGCACAAGGGTGCAAATACCTATACAGAGGCTGGAATCTTATCCATGCCTTGTCTTTGTTACACCAACTGGAGTTTTTACGGCTCTGCCATTGCCCCACCCTGCCATTTGCCCCCAAACCATACATTTAACAGAAGTATGCATTGTGTCTGTGGGCAAAAAAAAAAAAAGAGGAAAAGAAAAGAAGATGATAAAAAGACTAATCCAGAATAATATGACTTCTGGGCAATATTTCACAATCATTTTTACCAAGGGCTTTTAAAAAGCTTTTCTATTAATAGCCACTCAGTATTTCATCCAGACTTGCTAGCTCTTATCAGCCTGCCTTCTGAGGAAAAGATTCCCCCGTCTTTAAGACAAGGGAATTTAACATCCTTAAGTGGAACCGTACACCACTCACTGGCAGCTGTGAGTGCCCGTGCCTAGAGCGGGTATGGTGTGGCTCAGGGGTAAAGCACCTGCTTTGCACACAGGAGGTCCCAGGTTCAATCCCTGGCACTTCCAGTTCAACTAGTTTTTGTCTACTTTGGAGCAGTCTCTATTGGGTGTGATCCACACTCAGTTCTGGCCACTCACTGGGAGCCTGTGCTAGGAAATCCCTTGCCTTGGCAATCAGGCAACCCATTCCTCATGCACACCCTCTTTTGCTTCCTGTTCAAACAAGGCTTCCCACCTGCTCTTTGAGTTCCCCCAAACACATCCCTTTCTTTCCTCAGGATCAGTGTAACCCTTTAGGAATTCCCTGGATGTAGCCATAAACTACACTCTCACTCTTCAACTACTGTAATCCCAACCTCCTTAACCAAAACTTTCAGCTACCTGCATAGCCGGTAGCTGGGAGAGGAGAGAAAATGCTTCTTGTTAGTCAGTGTGCTTCCATAATCCTTCAAACCCAAATCTGTGATGCAGAAGAGGGAGTGTTCCAGCCTTCCAACAGAAAGAACCAAAATACCATTCCACCATCATCTTCATCTCCACAGATGTTTGTTGAAATTTCCAATCGATACCAAGAATAGAAGGGAGGCCGCCCACTCAGTTAACTGCAATATGTTTATTGGACAGAGCTGTATTATTTACCCATCTGTTCCAGCAGAGTTAACAAGATTATTACCATTATTTGGAGGAATGGATGTGTCACCTTATATTGCGTAACTCTGATGTTTACTTTCAAGTACACGTTCTAGAATGAGTCTGCCAAGCCAGCAAATGGGGTGATTTGCCAAATTAGCAGAAGATCAGACAAATTTGGCCTTCTTTTGTCAGTTGGGATGCAGGTGCACAGAAGTTATCCTTCCGAGAGGATAAAGCCATAGCGAGTTTTGATGATAGTAACTGCCCCAGTTCCCCTCAGCAAAACGGGTAAAAGTCCAAAGCTATAGCACCAAAAAATACATTTGAAAAACCTTGAATATATGCCCCATTTGACTGTTCCTTTAAAGAGGAAAGAGAATGGTCCTAAAGCATCTTTTACTCTTGTTTCATACACAAGCTTCCTGAGAACAATGTTGTGGTTGTGGTTTTTTTTTAAGAAAGTGGGCTCCTAAAGTGGTAGAGCAGAACAAGGAGAGAGTGTAACCTTGCTGTGACTTGAGTTTCTTATGTAAAACACAATAACCAGTACGTGAGCTGCACGATGATGGAGCTCAGCGGTGACTCAGCACTTGTTTCATATGCAGGAAGTCCCAAGTTCAGTCCCTGGGGTTACCACTTAAAGAGACTTCAAACTGCAGAGACAGAGGGAGACCTTGGGGAGCCACTGCCAGTCTAGAAATGGAGAGGAAGATGGACAGTGGTCCATCCATAGAATAGGACCTATTCTCAACACTACCGGTTATTAGAATTCTGGTAGAGATATCTATCTATCTATCTATCACCATCTATCTATCCATGTTGTGCTAGGCGGCTCTTCATCTGACCCAGCAAGAAATTCCTTAGCTTATTATGTTATTCAGAGCATACCCTCTTTAAAGAAATTAATGCCTTAAGACATTAGTTACGCCTCAGTGTTAATCATCCTCATTATAAGGGCATCTTATTAGTAATCAAATAATTAAATGCCATGTTCTTCATGAACAAAAGGATACCCTAACTAAAAAAAAAAAATTAAACGCACAAATCATAAAACAAGTATACTCAGCTGTTTCATAAAACTTAATGTACACCAGGGGACCACAGAAGTTCAGATATGCTAGGATTAAAAAAATGTTAGGCTGTGCAATGTTGAAGTCCCTTGCAGTAAATGACAATGGACTAGGCCAACCTTCCTACGAAGGTTGGATGGTTGGAAGGTATGATGGCTGGAGCTGACTGGGCACTGTGGCCCCAAATATCCAGAGAGCACCAGGCAGGTCAAAGGCTGAACTGGGAGGGGCCAAGAGTCTACCTGTATATTTAGGAGGCCCAGCACAAAAACGAGGCAAATTCAAATAGGTACTGGGGCACAAGTGCCCTGAGAGATCCCACTACTAACTCCTGCTAACATTACTAAATAACAATAATATTTATTTCTTTTTTAAAAAATGAACTTTGGGTTTGCCTCTAAGGTCCTAGAAATTGTCCTTGAGGATGAAAGCATCAGTGGCATCCATAGTCCTACATACACATACACACACTGCTCTGGAATGACTCAACTTTCAAGGCTTTTGGGGTGTGGGGCAAATGCAATATGATATCCAGAAGCCATTAGATGCTATAGTGCTAGGGGACAGGGTGGGGAAGATAATGTTAATTAAAAACTCAGAGTAGGCATCAGGAGTGGGAGGCAGTCCCATAGGACAGCTGCTTGGCATGGACCACCTGAGCCCTGGAACCAGCCCCAGTGCAAGGCATGGCTTTGTTTGCAACGGTTAAAAAGAAGGAGGAAAGAGCAAGATAGCATGAAGCCAGGAGGAGAGGGAAGCTCTGCAAAGCTTACCAGTAACGATGACATAGACGTCAAACCAGAAAGGGTCTGCAGCACTTGCACAACCACGTTCCGTTCAGCAACCACCACAGCTTTTATATCTGGGTGCCAAGGCGAGTGGGTGGAGAGAAGAATCGCATCCCCCCCCCCCCATATAGAAGAAAGAACCCAGTAATGGGGAAATGGAATAACCTCCCTACTACAGAAGCTCAACCTCAACAGAAGATGCTTATATGCTTGGACAGCGAGCAACAAATGAGTCATAGTGCATTCATGACATTATCAAAACAAACTGACCAAAATAAATAAAGGATACAAACAGTAACAGATTTGCTGCTTCATTTGCGTTGTTCTCATCTCAGGATAGACAAATGAAACCAAAAGATTTACCATAAGGCACTGTCCTCTTGGGACCTCTATGCAGGAAGGCTATGGAGAATCAATGCTGTTTTTCTACTCACCGCTGGAACAATCTGGGCCCCCCCATCCAGGTTCACAGTGACACGTGTCGGGAGAAACACACCTTCCGTGGACACATTCTTCTGTGCAGAGAGCTGGAAACAGGGAAGAAAATCATATATTTGTTATGTTGCAATGTAAGGGGAGCAGGGGTGTGATTTGTGTAGATTACCAGCAGAGATTTTTTTTTACTTGTCTGCATCCTTAAGGGTTTTATAAAGTATGGCAATATATTTTTCACACACAAAAACAACGAACCCAGATCATCTGGGCTGAGCCTCCATAGGGCACTGAACATGTCTTGAATGAGGACTTCACCATCTCGCCTGGCTCTGCTCAAGAGCTATTAAGGCATAATGGTTTGTTTGGATGTAATGCTAAACCATGGTTTAGTGTTACCAGAATGAGCCTTAGCCCCTCCTTACAGCTGCACTGGAAGAGAAGGGGAGGGATGCGTAAGTCTGAGGCTCCCTGCAGCTTGTTCCAGCAATATAAAATGATAGTTTGGTGTTATGTCCGAACTAGACTATTCACTAGATTCAGATACAGCAGGGAGAGGTCAAACCCTGAAGGATCTGGAAGATAGATGTTGCTTTGATCAAGATCTAAGCTCAGAGTTAATCAACCGATGTGGCATTCACACAATCAGAAGATCCTGATGCAGATTTAGAGGGCATTAACCCTCCCCCCTCTGCTGCCGTACCAATCCAGGCTGGAAGTGCCAACCTACTATTTATATTGGAGGGGTATATTTGTGCCACTGGAAGCTTTCCCCTCCTAGTGCAATTGTGGGTGCAAGGAGACTGGGATGAATCAGAATTACAATCTGGGGGAGAATTAAAGGGTTAAAGCCACAAACACCCGCACCATCGCTACCAGGATCCCAGTCTGAATTGAGGGGCCCACATCTGCCATTTGAAAAAGAAAGTAATTCACAAAATTGCTAAATGTGTGAACAATATTTTGTTACTTTGGTGCAACAAAAACAGCAAATCAATATTGTATTGTATTGTATTGTATTCAACCAAATTTGTAAGATATCAGAAAATAAGACATTTGTTACAGTGTCATTCGCACCTCCTCCTGATTGGAGAGCTATACTAAAAAGTGTACACACACACACACACACACACACACACACACGTTATCCAATAGTCAGTTTTAATGGCTGGATTTTACAGTGCAGCATCAGACTGTAATTAGCAGCCAGACACCCTGTTGCCACAACTATACTCAGCACTTAAAAATCTAAGTCTTACATTGTGCTTTTCCTTAGCATTTAAAGAGCTTTGCAGACTTTATCTCAATAATCCTTAAAATATCTCTTGCACAGAAACCTGGGCATTAAAAAAGAAACCTAAGAATATGGGAAGGTGCCTTATACAGACTCAGGCCATTGGTCTATGTAGCTCAGTATTGACTGCACTGACTGGCAGCAGCTCTATAACCAGTCTATCAGTCCAACCCAGACATTCTGCATGCAGAGTAGATGTTCTACCATTGAGTCCCATCCCTTCCTACAGCACAAGCCAGTGGTAGACAAGAATTGGACCCAAGCAATTATGAAGAGGAATCTGAATTCTGAAAAGTCCTGACTTTACCCGATAATCTTGAGTGGCCTCAATTATTCTCGCTGCAAAATGGAAATAGAAAGACTTACTAGGCAGAGTTCGGAAGACAAATGAGCTAGAGGGTTTGAAAGATGCTTTGCACCTCTGAAGAGAAGAAGTTTTGATTAACTGCCTACACTGAAAATGGCAGCTTTGGGTTCAATACATCAAATCTACCCTCCCACTTGAAAATTGAGTTGCAGTTAGTGCAAGTTTCTATATCTGTCCCATGAATTAGTATTTTTTGGTGGGGTGGGAGAGAGAGAAAGAGAGAAAAGAATGTGTCCTGCTGTAATCTTTAGCATTTAATTAATTTTTCATTCTATTAACATTCCACATAATAGGATAGTGGTCCCCACGGCACTCTTCCTAATGTACTTTTGCAAACGATCTCGCCATTTAATGGAACTATAAAAATTACTTGTACCAAAAGGTCAAGCTAAAATAAAGATGAGCCTGCGCTCTTAGGCACTGCCCTATTCTGCATACAGCCAAAGACCCCAGGGGTAAAGAAAACTCTCTCTTGCAAGCAA